TCTCGTTCGATGATGTCAACTAGATAAACTTTTACTTGCCGGGTTGCGCCCCCTAAAAATGTTTATTGGCAAACATACAACGACCGATGACGATGGGCAACACTTAAAAAGTTAAATAAAATTTACAAAAAAAAAACAACAACACACAAATTTAATTTTTATTTGATCTTTTTATTTTGATTTCTGAGTTTTGAGTCATTCAACCCGCCCAAAACACAGCCGAACTTTCATGTGGCGACTTTCTTCGAAAAATTTGAAATACTCATCCGCAATCCGCAATCCACAATTTACCGCCAAGAGAGCCCCCTTTGGGGTGGGTGAAACCGATATTAGCTGAGCGGAATAGTTAATTAAGGCGAGTCGAGCCGAGCCGCCGCCATATGCTAATGTCACCCGAATGTGCATATCAATTTGTCAGACCAAGTCCCTCCCCTCCCCTGCTTTTGCCTTGCTCCTTTCACCTCGCTTGAAGAAGTCGCCGGAGCGGCAAGAAAGCCAAGAAATCCAAGAAATCCGTAAGCCGGAAAGAGCCGAGCCAAGTGACGGCTGCCACAAGCGGATGATCGTCCATAATTATTAATATTGTCGATTGATAGTTTCATTTAATGTGTGTTGGTTTTTTTTTTTAAGAATTAACTTTCCATATAGCTTTGATTTCTTGGTACTAAATAATAAGTATTTTTGATTTTATAAATTATAAAAATTAAATTGTCTGACTTTTTTTTTGGTACTTCGAGTTTTGGCAATAAATAAACAACATATAAATAAAAAGTTTAATTAAATTCTTGATTTTTTTTTTTAGAATTGGCTTTCCATACGGCATTGATTTTTTGTTTATTTTTTATAAGTCTTAGTGATTTTTTTTAATTTTATTATTAAATAAATTATATATTTTGGGTACTTCAAGTCGAACAAGACATTAATTAGACAAAAAAAGTGCACTAGTTCTTCAAAATCTCTATTTTTACTAACACTTCTGAAAGTTGTTAAGCTTACGTTAATTTAATTCCTGTTAATTATTAAAAATATATTTGTAATAATTAATAGAAATTAAATGAAGTCAAGCCTGACATCTTCAAGAAGTTCTATCCCAAAATTCCACTTCCTCTCCAATCAAGTTCGTTGCCTCAGTCTTTCGTTTGGCCCCCTGAACTTACAGTTTGCAAATGAACCGTAAATCGGTTTTAGCCACCACTTGACATTCCATAAACGTGTCTGAAGCCCAAGAAAGGGAGATGATGATGATGATGGTGGTGATGGTGATGGACAAGGACAGTAAAGGGAAGACTGTGCACTGTGCTCTCTTAAACTTATATTCAAAGCAGGTGCGAACGCGTGCAAATTGTTTGTTTATTTCCTACATTTCGCGTCGATTTCTTCCCGGCAAGAATATCAAGAAGGCTGAGCTTGGTGGTTACTGGTTACTGGTGAGTGGTGCTTTCTAGTGAAATTGAAAACGCATTTAATAATAAACAGCCGAAAACAACAACAAAATAAATGCAAAAGAAAACAGAAGCAACCGCCGCCGCCACAGAGTTTCACTTTCAACCGCCTTTTTGTATAGCAATCTTCATACATTTTTTTCTTTTTTTTTTTTCAAAATAACTAGATGGAGATGAGTGCATCTGCGATTAGCTTGGGAATGCCTTTGGGTCTGGGTTTAGGGACTAGGAATGGGATTTGGGCAGGGCAAATCTGATTAGGCGCGGACCTGGGGTCTGGGGAATAAATGAAATGGGTTCTTGTGTGGCTCACGTTTTCTTGGCCAATCCATAAAAAGCCGCTAATGGGAAATTATGTCTGGCCGCCGCATAATGGCCAAGTAATTGCGATCGAAGCGTGTTGGCTTTCGCCGTTTGCCTAGGATGAGTTGGCACTACCACTACGCCCATTTCTTATACCATGGAAATGGTGATGGAAATCGAAATGGTAGTGTTTGGATCGGATTGGGGAAGATAATGCATTAATCTATGACGGACCTTAACTTATTTATACCTCTTTTCTGTTTTTTTTCTTTCTTTGCAGCCAAAGACTAAAGACTAACAACAACTAAAACATCAACGAAGCCAATTAACAGGTGAGTAAAAAGCCATACGCCTCTTCTCTCACCTTTTCGCCACCGGGACAGGCAGATGAGTGTGCAGGTTCGTTGGCCAAGTGTCAATACCTGAGAGTCTGTAACGGCCTCAGAGCAAATGCCTGAAGCAAAAGTATATAAGAAATCTTAAAAAAGTGTCAAGTGTGGGGAGTATAGGTAATAAAAAATACCCTTTTAGACAAGACAATCATAAGGGAGGTTTATTTTTATTATTTTTGATGATCGAAGAATGTAGAAAATATAACTTTTATTTTTTATAGAAACATAAGCTTAGGCAACAGACATCTTTGATAGAAGCTGCTTATATTTCTTGTTTATTTAAAAGTATTATTAATATAGAACATAAAATAAACACTAATTTTTTAAAGCATTTTATTAAAAGTTAGTTTAATTCGTACTCGTTAAACGTTGCCCTTAATCGTTTCTTAATAGTTACTCGTTATGCTTTACTCAAAATTATAACTTTTATTTTAAAAAAAGATTGCAACCATGGAATTTTCTATGATATATTTATAATTTTTTATACAGAAATTTTTTTAAACAAAATATATAAAAAAAACCCTAACCCCAGGTCCAAGCTATACACAGAGCACAGGGTACTTTATCATCAATCCAAAAGCAGATGAAGATGAAGAACGGTTGGCAACCACAAATTGAATGACCGCCAATACTCTCGGTGTTTTTTTTTTGTTTTCTTTTTCGTTGACAATCCGAGTAATAGCCACAACAATATAGTGTCTTTAACAAGGACCGTTACATAAAAAAAAGAAGCAAGAATTTACAGCGGGGGGCCATGATATTCGTTTTCTTAGTTATTTTTTATTTTTTAGCATGACTCTTGCAAAAAATTAAACACACAAAAAGCAAACTTTATTTGTGACGACCTTAAATTTTTTTTTTTTGCCTTTGAATCGTCGGACTTTGGCCAAAGTTACCTTACAAAAGCCAAAGCTATATGCTCGTGTTTCTGAATAACTAACTTATTGTGCGCAAGACAGAGCTAATTAAGCTGTTCGATTATATATATGTTATATATGTGTTTGTGCGATTGTTGGTTTTGGCCAGGCTAAGACTCCTCCATTGCACTGTTACTTGGTTACTTGGCTACTTGGCTACTTTGTTGTTACATTATTACACTGATATTACAGTTAATACATTTAAACTATGCGATCAAAATTCCTTTCTCTTTGTTGCGCACTCATTGGGCTGCCTTTTCCCCCATTTGAAATTCATTTTTTGCCTGATTTTGATTTGAATTATTTACTGGAAATTTTATATATATTTTGTTTGTATATAAAGCTCCTTTCAGGCAGTTAATACTTTCCTTTCATATGGGAAATTAATTAACTTAATTCTTTAGAGCTTTTTCACCTTAGTTTAACTCACAACTGAATTCCCATTTACCGTGTGTATACTCAAATTTCCCCTTTGGTTTCGTGACTTTTCAACAAAATAAAAAAAAAAAAGTGTCGTAGCTGTCTAACTATCTACGTTCCTACCCCAAAAAAAGATCAAGTGTCACACCCGCAAGAGTACTTGAGTGCTGCCCTTGTTTTAATTATTCTATATGAAATGCCTTCCCCTATTAACACTGAAAAAAATAAGAAATAAAATAAATAACTAAAACATTTACCATTAAGCGCGTATTTTTATAGAATTTTTCTAAATTTTCTAAATTGATTCGGCTGCTGATTTTTCTACTGAAATGAGCTTAATGTTAAATGTTTTAATAAAAGACTTCAAGTGGTAATTTGGTAACCAATAAAAATGTCTAACTTAAGCTTAATGTTAACGAGATCTTTAATAAAATACATATTTTGTATACTAGTATTTGTCTAGGGTCCCTCCTCCGATTGATTTCCTTTTTCTCCTTGACTTTTATCTCAAACTCTCTCCGATGATATCTGCTCGTTTTCTCTATCCCTCCCTCAAATAGCAAATAAACCCGTAGCACTAAGCTACAAAATAGAGAGGGTACACTGAAACACAACAATTAGCAGCTCTTTAGAAGAGAGCAGCTACTACCACACAACCTTACTACTTCTAGTACTCCACCCCAACATTCAGCTGAGTTACCACTCAGAAGATGCTAGAACTAGTTGGAAATTATAGTGTCAAGCAAGAGGATTTTTTCAAATTATTTATTTATTTAAATTATTTATATATTTGTATTTATTCTAAATACAGATTCTAAATATTATTTGTAAATGATTTACTTATTTCTAAATAAAGAAATAAATAAATAATTTCCAAAAAAAGATTCAAATACCCTGAAAGGTTATACAAATTGGCAGAATGGATTTAAATGATTTCTTATATTTAACAAAAATCTCTAAAATTATTCATAGTTCATGCTCCCTCTCGGAGTATCAACAGTGAATTTTTCAAAACTTAATTCTGCGTAGAATTTATACTTTGCTGTTTGGTATTGGGCTTGCAAGCCACCCACCGAAAACACCACCCACAAGACGGCCCCAATCCACGGGCCAAGGCGAGCGGTGAGCGGGACTGGGACACAGTGGCGTCTGAGGCATTAGGCACACAGCCAGCCGGAGCAGCCGGTTTCGCTCGCTGCTCGCTCTCCCTCTCTCGCTGCGCTCTCGTCTCTCTCTCTCTCTCTCTCTCTCCCGTTTTCGGCACCTGTCGCCGTGACTCTATCTTGGCCAACTTCTTCGGCTCGCTGCCGACGCAGACGTCGCCGCTGCCGCTGCCGCTTTCTGGCCAGGCTGAAGCCATCGCTGTGGGCACGTCTTGAGCCCGCCGACTTGGAGCGCTGCGTTCAATGCGCTGCCAGCCGTCGATAAGAACGCACGCGAGTCACTTGCTCCACCGGTTGCCAGGTCGAAGCAAAAGCTATAGTCGAAGCTAAAGCCAGAGCTTAAATTGAAACTGAAACTAAAGGCAAAAAACTGAAACTAACAAATCAAAATCGGAAAAATTGGAATACGCGCGCGCGTGTATATTTCATAAAATACATTTTTTTGATTAATTTTTTGTCGAGAGAGCGCAAGCAGTGTGTGTGTGTTGAGTGTGTGTTGTGCGTGATGTGTGCGAATCTGCAAAAGTTATAGTTCTCCGATCCGGGTCCAGTCCAGCACACGGTGGATCGCCATGTCGGCCAAGAACCAAATGAGTGTCTTCATGGAGAAGATCAACACGGTGAGTTCTTGGAGATTAAAGATTGCAGATCTGCCAGGGATTATATATACCATAAATGCATAGCTTTGAGGTCTGCCTCTCTGTGGGTCTCTGGGTCGCGATCCACTTGAACCTCCAACGAGTGCATCTTTCACACGAATTAGCCTCGGTTAATGCGGCAAAACAAAGTTGAGATTCAGCTGCACAGCGAGAAATATAGATTAAAAATGGGGAATGTTAAGAAAATTATTATTAGAAATATATGTCAACTGAATTTTAAGATTTAAAATGGGTTAAAAGTTTATAAATTTAAGGAATATTTTGAAATTACTAGGAATATAGAGAGTTACAAAAAATAATAATATAAAAAAAAATAATAGTTTCTTTAATTGGTATTTTCTGTAATTAAAATGTTATAGGTATTAATATAGATATTACTTTGGGTATTATTTAAGGGATTATATCTAATATAATTATATATAATTATATCTATTATAATTTCTGAAAAAGATGATATTACAAATTTTAATAGAAATTATTATTGATATATACTATTATAAATTTTAATTTGAGTATTTTTACAAATATTCTTATAGATATCATATTCCTAGAGGTATATATATGTCTTAAAGGTATTTCACTTTTTATTTACAAGTCAAGAGCTATTAAAAAATTACTTAGGTGATTAAGCATTCCCTACAAAATGACTGAATAAATAGGGCATTAACCTAATAAATTTAATGACTAGTCTCACTTCCTTTATTAAACAAAATTATATGGTTAAATCTCTTTGTTTAGCCTTCCTTTTAAAATTAAATTTTAAGACTTACAAGATATTTAAATTGCAAAATTGCAATAATTTTACCAGTAAGAACCCCCAATTGTTTAATTTCAAAAACCCCCATAAGGTCAAAATGCTTTTAAATAATAAGATAAGCCAAGGACCTTGTCACTTTTCCCCTATCCTTTCATTTACCAATGCCTAAGCAACATAGTTCAAGCTCAAAGAATCTTTAAGGGAATCCCCTTTGGGGCATTTCTAGGGTTTTCCAACCTGAAAAAAAACACACTACACATTCAGTGGGCCAGAGAAGGACAGAAGAAGAGGCCGTCTTACCTGACTCTCACCTGACCAACAATTTGGCGTCATTTGCATTCAAAAGTGTCGCCTGGCCGCTCATAAATAAATGAAATTGAAATTTTTGCGCCTCAGTTTTCCCAATTCCCCCCCAAAGACCGTCGCGAGTCCGCTGTCCGCTGTCCGCTCACCGATCTCCGATCTGGACGCATTTTGATTGCGGTGAAACGAAAGTGAAATGCGCCCCAAACGAAATTAAGTGCCTCTACCTCTTCTGCTGCCCCTGCCCCTGCCCCTGCCAATGGCTCTCCCTCCGCTTCAATCACCCCACTCCCTTGATTGAGTGCGCCTCAATGAGCTTCAATTCAATTGAATGAGCTGACGAAATGGCGCGCACCGCATAGCAAACATAAAAACATAAAACAAAAATCAAACAGAAAACAAAAAAACAAACAAGTGGCCAAGTGCCCTGGCTGTGGAGAAAAGGGGGGTTTTCTTTTTATTTTAGAAGGGGCTGTGAGCAGTGGCGGGCTTTGCGAAGGGGGTTCTAAAGAAAGCACATGTAAACATATTATTTTGAAATTACATATTATTTAGATTGTTATTCAAGACTTACATATATTATTAAATAATAAATTAGATAATTTATCTTGTTTCTTTATTATATATATGTTGATATCGAAACCTACGAACGACTGTATTTTTAATGTCCACTTTAAAATCTGAGTTGGGCAGTTCTTGAGTTTTTGCAATGTCTCGTATTCTAAAAGAATGTTAAATGGTAATAAGGTCTGTAAAACTGTTTTTAGGGTGATTATAATTTTTTTTTAAATATTTTTAACCCAAAAGATAAGTACCAGTTTGGCAGTTTAAAGTTAACTCTTACTTGACAGCCAGTTGAGAATTAATTAAGCTAAGGAATTCCTATTAATTCTCTGTTTATTTATTCTAATAATGAAATTAATTGAAAGTTATAGTTCAGAGGAAGACACAATTAACTAACAGTTAGCAGATTACTTTGACTTGACAGACAGTTTAGATTTAACCCCCACATATACCTTTGAGTCAAGCCATTATTTCTATCTATCAGTTTATTCTGGTCCCAGAACGAACAACTTGAAGTTAGTCTGTTTATAAAATTCCCTAAAGATATATTTTTTATTTTTTGGAGGCTTTGACTCCCCTTTTCGATAAAGCCCCTCCTATGTCTCCGCCACTGAACGTAAAGGTGCAGTGCAGCGTCTAGTATTTGTGCAACAGTAATTAATTAGTAATAATTTTCGGTTGCCTTTTTGTGCGAGTGTAGAAATGCTGATGAGGAGGCCCAAAAGCCCAGGCCTGGCTACGTTTGGCGAGGATTGAGCAATGCAAAGTCTTAAGAGCCCCTCCTCTCTATGAAAGCCACCCCATTTCCCTGCTACTAGAGAGAGAAAGAGGTTCCGTTAACGAGCTAGGTGCAAGAGGAGAACGGGGGAGAAGGTGGATTTTCTGGCTTGGCTTAGGCGTACTTTGAGATTTTTTTTATGATTTAATTTATTTATTATTTGTTTTATTTACTATTTAATTTATTTATTTGATTGATTTATGCAAATTCCATTTAAGCCAATTAATCAATACTCTGCTTCTGGCAATAATTTCTTTAAAAAAATCTTTAAAAAATAAAGAAACAATGGTAATAACTCCATTGTAGAATTTATTATGAATCTGAAACCGTCCAAGGTTGAATATGAAATGGCATTTATCGCATATTTTACACCGTCGCGAATGACACAACACCTTTTTGCTTGATCTGAAATGTCATAATATCACCTGTCCGTCCTACGCTCTGCTTCTGCTCCCCTTTCCCGTTTTTATTTACCCTTTTTTGTTGTATTTTTTTTTTTGCATAAGAACTTTAAGCATTTATTTCCTGGCGACTTTCGCTCACTTGACATTCTGCGGGCTTGGCCTGAGCCACTCTAGGAGCCGAGGCCTGACACATGTCGACATGGAACTGCACTTTGGTGTCACAAATCGCACCAGGGAGTAGGCTGGACGGGATGCGGTTAGGCAATAAGTAACGGCGGGTTCCGTTGTGACGTCAACTACCGCAATCTGCGCTAGAATTCGAGCTGAGCTTTCTCCGGGTTGCATAATCCGCATCTGCATCTCCAGCTCCATCTCCATCTCCTCGAAAACTAAACTAAAAAAAAAGAAATAAATATAAAAACCCGATCTCGTTGAGCCACTGGAACTGGTTCGTCTTGTCTGCTCTGGCGGTGGCTCCAAACCAATCTCGTCGTCTGGCGGTGGCCACCTCTGGTCGCGATATATATTTATGACGTAAGCCGCTGGCGGATTCTAAGCCCGCCCGCCAGACTGACATTGGCCTAGCCCACCGCTGATCAGAGAGCTCCGGGGGGGAGTCCGAGTCGCCGGCAGACGACGGACTGGATTCTCACGAGTGGAGCTTGGAGCTTGGAGATTGGAGCTTGGAACGGAGTGCCCGAATGTGCGGAATGTGGGCCACGTTAGTGGATGGATGGATATCTGAATTATCGCACCTGCTCACCTCCAATTACCTCCTATTTATCTCCATAGTCGGGCTTGTTTCTCACCATCTTGGAGGCTTTTTTTTAATTGAGTTTTTAACTTGAAACGATCTGGCATTTAATGTTTATTACAGTTTTTAATGGAACTAGCTTTAGTTTTGCATATTAATTTTGATATTAAGTGATAAGAGCGGCTTTATAAAATCCTTTAGCTATAGAGTTTTTCATAATAATATAATAATGGTATAGTAAGGGGATTTATAGAGGCTATTTTGGGCTTTAAAGGCGCTTATTGTGGGTCTTAGGGGTGAAGTTTTCCTAACAATTGATGGTATTTAAAGAAGAAATAAGAAAAATTGTGAAAAGATCGGATTTTCAAATCTTTTAAAAGTATTTTTTAATTATAATAGAATTTTTAAGAATTGTTAAAGGTGTGTTTAGCACCTTAGAGGTTCTGTTGTCCGCAGAATTTAAGGTATTTAGAGTTGAAATTTTGTAAAAATGCGAAAAGATTGCATTATTAAATCCTTTTGAAGTAGTTTTTAATTATAATTAAATTTTTAAGGATTATCAAAGGTCTGTTTTAGGTGGTGTTGTGCTCAGAATTTAAGGTATTTAGAGCTGAAATTATAAAAAAAATGTGAAAAGATTGCAATTTTACACCATTTAGTTAAAGTTTTCCATTATAATTAAAATTATAAGGAATAAATGCTGGCTTTTGTAAATATCATTAAATGGAAGAAATAACGGAAGAATGAAAAAATATTAAAAATACATTATTAAATCCCTTAACTATATTTTCCCATTAAAATGTAAGTTTTTAAACAGCTTTGTGCTCAGATTGTGTTATTTGAACTTCAAATTAAATGGTTTCCCCTTAAGAAATTGCACTCATTTCACATCCATTTTGATGACCACGATCTTTATTTTTCTGCTGCGCCATTGTGCACCCAACAGGTAGCATCTAGCAGCCAGAGCATCTAGTCAATAATCCGTAATCCACACTCTCTAGGTAATCCTAGACAGACCGCCAAGGTCCCCCCCAGTGGCGACCACATCAAAGAGGGCTAGGTAACTGCTTCCCGATAACGGATCACGTCACGGGAAGCTCTCTGACCCATTTACATTTAGCCAAGAAATAAATTGTTTATGGATATATAAACATTTTTTTTTTGGGCCCCAAATACGGAAGCCATGTAATGCTAATGAATCGAGCTGTGAACCAATGCGAAAGCCAACAAAACCGGGCCCAGGCACATGGCCAAAACTAGACTGGGAACTGGGAACTGGGATTGTAACTGGGAAAGAGCTGTAAGTGTGTCGGGGGAGCTTGTAATAATTTCCTGTCTCTGGCTTGATTTGCATGCCAGCAGTCCGAGTCTCTCGCTTGACTTACTTAATCAAAACTAATGCCAAAAGATACTCGAGTATCTGCGATGTAATGCGATCCATTTGCTGGCCACCTACGCTCTCTCAAACTTTCCAGGGTCCGATTGAAATTAAATTGAAATTTATGCGGACACGAATTAGCCGCCGCCGCCGCCGACGACGACTCAAGTCTAATCAACTGGAGATACATAATTCGTT